ATCTCCGAGCATACACTGCAGTAATCTGCAAAGGTAAGAGATGCGCGGCTGATCAATTCTCCTGAATTTCATAATCTCCGTCGCCAAGCCACACGTTCCACCAAGAGTGGCCGTAAACAATACTGGAAGGCGATTGCAGGTGGCATGGAGGCTGCAACCGTCGCAGCGGACTTTGAAAAGCTATTCCGTCTAACTCGTGTCGCAGCAGGAAAGAGGCAGACATCAGATCCATTGTTGCGTAGCACCACAGGCCAACTTATTCAGGGAACCGAGCAAAAAATGCAAAGGTGGGTTGAACACTTCGACAAGCTGCTCAGCAGACCATCAAATTAATCTGGCTCTCTACAGATGTCAAGCAGTTGGGAGACTTACGACGTCAATAGCGACCCACCTAGTACGACAGAAATCATCAATGCAGTCACTTCTCTGAAAAACAGGAAGGACCCTGGAGAAGACGGGATATCACCAGAGTTACTCAAAGCTTCCTTACCAAAGCTGATCGATCCACTGCACTCTCTTTTCCATACCATTTAGGGAAGGGAATTATTTAAGAGACTGGACGGTCCCAATTTTAGTCCCGGTCTCAATAAATGTGATAGATCTAGATGCGAAAATTACAGGGGTATTAGCTTGATTGATATTGCAGCCAAATTGTTTGCAGTGATACTGCTTAATCTCTTCCGAGTCGTCAGGGATACCCACATTCGCCGGAACCAAGGGGGTTTTCTCCGCGGAAGAGGCTGTGTTGAAGAAATCTTCACTCTCCGTAAAATACTGGAACACCGCAACAAGTTCCAACAGCCTACCACTGCATGTTTCATTGACTTCCGCGCTGCGTTTGACTGTCGATAGAGAACTTTTGTGTTGTATATTGCGATTCGGCGGGATGCCTGAGAATTCCATTAGGCTTTTAAAGTCATGCTACTCAGAAACCGGCGCACAAATCCGTACCTATAGAGAAGAATCGGCTGAGTTCACCCTAAGCTCTGGAGTACGGCAAGATTGTGTCCTAACAACGGTGTTATTCAACTACATCGTAGATTGGATAATGCAATAAGCACTCATCGGCTACCCTTGAGTGCAGCGGGGCCCAGATACATGGATTGTAGACCTCGAGTTTGCGGATGATGTCGTCGTACATGGAGACAGCATGGACCACCTCCAGCCTGTTGTCAGTCGTATAAATCTGTTTGCCCAGTTCATTGGGCTGGAAATAAACACGTCGAAATCGAAGACATTTTCGACCGAAACTTCTACCACGACACAACCCCTCTCGATTAACGAGGAGCTTGTCGAATCAACCAAAGGTTTCAAGTATCTTGGGTCTACGATAAGATCAAACGGCCAGGCTAAGGATGAAATCCAACTACGTGTAGATGGAGCTAGAAGAGTCTTTCTACGACTCCTCAAACAGTAGTGGAATCGATGCAAAATAAGCTTAAACACTAAGTTTTGGGTTTACCAGGCTTCTTTCCTCCCGATCCTCAATTATTCTTGTGAAACCGGACCACTAAGAGTACAAGATATAAGGAAGCTCGAAGTCTTTGAACATTGGTGCTTACACTGCATCTTGAAAGTAAATTGGAGGGATCGCATTTCCAGTGATGAGGTTCGACGGCGCTGCTTAAACATTGATAAGCTTTCAAAAATGCTATAACGCCGGCACCTTCATTAGTTTGGCCAAGTGCCCCGAAGACCCGACACTCAACTCTCGCGACAAGCTGTAGCCCCAGCACCTTGCCGTGGATGGCGTTGCAGACTCTGTGGTCAATTGAAGACCTGGAGTAGTACGATTGGAATTACTGAGTCTTCAATCCGTATATAGAATTCGCAACTGGAAGCAGAACTGGGATTCACACTGCGTCAACCTTGCTACCGATCGTCAAGCATGGACCGCCAACATTAGAGAAATCCAGAAAGGCAACTTATCCTCCCGCAGGAGTTAGTCGATCAAAAGTAAAAAGCAAAAGTAATCCAATAGACCAGCCTCGGCCCTGTCGCTACAGGCAGTACCAACGCCTGCTTGACCAGACGCTGAAGCGATAAGGTCCCCGGAAATGCGCAGGTGGAATGCTTCGTTTGGATGAGAATAAGACGTTGTTCGGATCACTGCGTTTGGGTGATGAATGAGTGTGAAGCTGACCGACGTTGACGACCTGCCGATAAGACTTCTTACGGACCTCGAATAACGCGCGCGCTCCCCAAGTATTTCTTTGCCCGAGGTAGACAAAAACACTCGTGATGGTCTTAGATGTTTATCGGAGTGCCGTGGTACTAGAAGGTACCGAATACGTGCCTATGTGACGACTAAACAATGCAATCAATTAAATGCAGTGGCAAAGCGAAGGTGTCACACGTGCTTCGTGGGTCAGAACAGGACCCATTTTATGTACACATCTGAGGGGAAAACCATTCAAACTCGTGGCAACTGACGGTGCTACTTAATTGGTTCAAATAAACTTTTGATTTTGTTGACCGTCCGACACATCCACCAGCAGGTTGAGCAATAACTTGCATGCTTTCTCTTTTCTCTCAAAAACTAAGAGCCTACCTAATGTACTTCCTGTTTTTGGCTTCTTTTCTAGAGAACGGACCGATATGCAAAGCTGAAGTAAACAGAAAATCTTAAAGCAGGATCTCATGAACTCTGTGATCGACTGGACCGTTTCGTTGAACAAACTCAATGTGAGTCTGTAGGACTACACACATCGACCTCATGCCCTGGTTTTCGATCGATGATAAAAGTCCTGGCGAGCTCTGAAACGACTTCTCCCTGTCTTGACCCGAACACCCTCGCTCAAACAGTGACATCACTCAGAAGGTAGTCGTACTGGCATGACTTTATATATACGTATTTTTCAAACACAAATCTCCAAGCACATATATACACAAAAGCTTTCAAATCGCCATCCACTCAGTCTTTGACTCTGCCCACCTCTACATGATCAAAGTTTGATATTCTTTACCGTGTCGGATACTCGCCGTTTTTATTTATCATCCTAGATCGATCTCAATCCTGAACAATACAATTATTTGACAATTATACACATTTCAATTATTGTGATTCCGCCTCCGTGTCTTTTCTTCTTCATATCTACTTAGCTACAGAACTACAAACTGCCAAAAATATGCTACTTTGCTTAAATTCCCTTTTGTCAATCCCCGAATGAACCAAATGTCCAATGACCGTTTTGTGGTCCTCTTTGTTTGTCGCGCGCAAACATGATCGCGTTCCGTTGTTTTTTAACCCCACTAACTCTGTTGACCCAAATGTTCTACCATTTATTGTATAAAATGATCCTGCACCCTAGCGTGTCTCACGACTTCCGTCGTGTAATATACCATTGTTATTGTTAATCAGTGAATTAAAACAGAAAGAAATATCACAGTAAAACTGAGATTTGGAATAGCGCCTTTGGAGAATCTAAAATTACGTTATGGAGAAACTGACGTATAAACGAAGCATTGCAGCACAGCACGCACTGTTTTGTGGTTCTGTGCTCATTAATGTCGAAACATCCCATTGATGTTCTTTCCCGATGGTATGGTAGAAACTTTATATTCTCAAACTTCTGAAATGTGGGAAATAAATTATCTTACATTAGGCTAGTATCTTATGAACGACAGCGGAAATCGAAAAGTAGATCGGATCAAAGCAGAGCAAGCGTGCGATTCAGAGATCATCATGCTGGTGCGACTTATTCGAGCTCACTAGGAGCAGAACTTAACTTTGGAAGTGCCTCAGTCGCTACATCTAACAAGCAAGTTTTCCATAAAAGATCGAAACATAATCGGGATGTCATAAACCTTGACGGTCTACTTGATTGTGTCTGATTGAGAAGAAAGGTTCATCATATTAGCAGGATGAGAATAATCTGCGCCTAGCTTTTGTAACAACTAGGTGTGATCAAAGGGTCAAGGTTCTACTGAATACATGAATCAGTTTGGTTCTGTTAAGGATGCCACGGTTATGTAACCGTGTCCTGTTAATCCTCAGTTACACAGGATTGGTTAAAAAAGAAACCTGTGCTGCTGCTAAAAGCACCAGTGATCGGTGCAGTTGTTCTTTGACCGTGAATTAATGATCATGTTCCTTGTATTAGGATCTAAGGTCACCATGATTGTACGAAAAAAAGGAGCAATCCACGAGGGTGTTTTCCATTCATATTTTCTTCACAATCAACTCTGACTCGAACTGTGATATTTCTTTGTTTTACTTCTGTTTGTTTTACCGAGCACGGTTTTCCACTCAGGCGTATATATAAGCTGGGTCCTGTTCAAACCCACGCTACACGTGTGACACGCTTTCGCTTTGCTACTGAATTTATTGCTTGCATTGTTTAGCGTCACCTTGGCACGTTTCGGTACTATNCCACGATCCGCCAATAAACGTCTACGACTCCCACGAGTGTTTTTGTCTACCTCGGACAACGAGACACTAGGAGGTCGCGCGCATATTGAGACTCGTAAGAAGACATACTGGCAAGCTGTCAACGCCGGTTAGCTTCATTGGTGAGCCCGCATCGTCTACTCTGTAAGTCAATTCCATTTGGGTT